TGTAATCCTAGCACTTTGGGAGGCCCAGGCCAGTGGATTGCTTGAGCTCAATTCTAGACCAGCCTGAGCAAGAGTGAGACTCCCCTGTCTTCTAAAAATAGAAAAACTAGCCAGGCATAGTGGCACACACCTGTAGTCCCAGTTACTTGGGAGGCTGAGACAAGAGGATTGTTCAAGCCCAAGAGTTTGAGGTTGCTGTGAGCTGTGAGGCCATAGCACTCTACCCAGGGCAACAGCTTGAGACTGTCTCAGAAAAAGAAAAAAAAAAAACAAATAAAACAAATCACGGCCCAGTCTGAGTCTTCTATACCTCTCAGGTATAGGATGAACAGACTCAGCATACCTTAGCCCCCGTCCTGAGTAGGGAGGGTTGGCCAAGTCATATGGACCAAGTGAGAATGAGATGCTGGCTACATAGCCATGAGCCCCACCTGGCACTTCTGGAATAGAAAATGCCAGCCCTACCCACTAGAACAGCATAATTAAAAAATACTCCTGTAGGGTGGCACCTGTAGCTCAAAGGAGTAGGGTGCCAGTTCCATATGCCAGAGGTGGTGGGTTTAAACCCAGCCCTGGCCAAAAAAACAAAACAAAACAAAACAAAACGACTATATTTACTTACAGAAATAAAAGACCTGAAGCAAATTTGGTAGGGTCAGAGTTCAGTGGTGCTTGCTATATTTTCTCTGCTGTGTGATTTTTTTTCCTTTTTTGAGACAGTCTCACTACGTCACTCTCAGTAGAGTGCTGTGGCGTCACAGCTCACAGCAACCTCAAACTCTTGGGCTCAAGCAATATTCTCTTGCCTCAGCCTTCCAAGTAGTTGGACTACAGGCACCTACCACAACACCTAGCTATTTTTTTGTTTGTTTAGCAGGCTTGGGCTGGGTTCGAACCTACCAGCCTCGGAGCATGTAGCCAGCACCCTAACCACGGAGCTACGGGCGCCAAACCTCTGTTGTGTCATTTAAAGATTCATTTGAAAAAACATATTTCAAGAAATGAAGTGGAAATATGTAAATCCATTCAGTCAAGTTTATTGTTATTGAATTCACTGTGTGCTCAGCACTGTCCTAGGTCATAACATAAAAGAAATTACAAAACAAGATCTCAATAAGGGAAAAATAGACTCTACACTATATTCATTTCTAATCATTTCCATGTTGTTTTTTAAAGTATTCTGAGGTCATCTGCGGGTATGTGGTCTTGCTCTTTCTACATGTCCTCCTATAGCTTCCAGCACTTTTGAACCATGCCCACTGGGATCATCCTAGTGGGGCAGGAAGAGTGGCTGATGAGGCAGCCAGGGGTGAGTCGGGGTCCCTGGCAGAGGCGGCATGCTGAAAGGGAAACTATCCTTCACAAGGGCCCTGGATACTCACAGTGAATCATTGAAGGGCGAACTTGAGGAGGCCACAGGAAAGGCTCTGGACCCCTGGCTCACCCCCTCCCCCCAGGGGATATGCTTAAAGTGCTAACACTGGAAGAAAATAATGCATAGTTACACAACATCCTAGATGTCACCGCAATTGTCATCTCCCTCTTCCTACTTGACTTGTGCTAACATCAGGCTCTGGTACCTCCAGAGGCCAGGCCCGTAGAAAAGTCTAGTGCCCAGCGAAGAAGGTCCAACATATAACCTAGTGTGCTCAAGAGGAGGGGAGGGCAGACGGGTAGATGATGGCAGAGAGGCTAGCAGCAAAAGGGACTAGTTTGTGCTTGGCCAGTGCCCCTGAGTCAGGGGATGGTTCCCGTGCAAACGGCAGTTTGGTTCTATACAGCTAGCAGGGTCCTAAATTCTCCCTGAGGAAAACAAAGCTACGTAGTACAGGAAGGAAATCCATGCAGGGCTTTCCCTGGCCCCCAAGCCCACATGCCCCCATGCCTACAGTACAAGGTGCCAGGGAGTACAGGTGTGGGGTATACAGCAGGCCATGCCACACTTGGATGCTGGATGACATCTGAATACACCTGGCCAAGGAGCTCCAGCTGCCTGGACCCAGTCACCACATGCAGGGCCCTAACCTGAGTTTGCACGAGGGTCTTAGGTCCAGCTAGCAGCCTCGCTGTGGATACCTGTGCCCCTGAAGTTCTGATCCCAGTGAAACACATCGTGTGCTTGACACAGAGGGCACTTCAGTCAGGAGGGGAAGCAAATGCAGCCGTGGTGCGGCCATGCCATGGCCTCTTCATGTTGGCAACGTGGCGACGCAGAGGATGCCTTGGAGGAGGAGCAGGAGGGAATCTGGGGGCTAAGAAGGCACCCCCATCTTGCCCTCCGCTCAGAGCCAGATCTCATCACTGCTCACGCTGGACACTCGATAGATATAGCCCAGCATTGGGAGGCGGATGAAACCTGTGAGGTCGAACATGCACAGGGAACTCAGTAACTCTGGTTCCTGGGGAGGTGGGAGAGCCCTCTCTGCTCCTGGGCACGCAAGAGGCCTTTGGCACGTGCTTGGGGATGGGGAACAGGGCAGGAGGGCAGCAGGGCCCTTCTCCAGTACCTCGGCTGGTGAGGAGGCCACCGGGCTCTGGGTCCAGGAGCTCTGGCCGGCTATTGTTCTGAGGCATCTGCCTGTCTGCTGGTTTCCCTGTTAGGTGACAAAGGGGACTGTGCCCAAGACAGGAGCATGCCTGATGCAGCCTTGCCCCTCCCAAGCACTAGCGTGTCTTTTTCTCAGAAGCACTTCTGAAGATAAAGCAGGTGCAAACAGCAGGGTCCTGGATGTACCTCTAGAGTCTGGAGTGAGGTCGTTGAGTTGAAGGTTGGACGGGAGGGACATGTTCTCCCGCGGCAGACGCACATTGTTGAGTTTCAGGTTGTTGGAGTCACTACAGGGCAGACAAAGGTTGGGATATGCACAGGCACCAGCAGGCACAGGTCTTCTACGGAGGCCTGTTTCAGACCTTCCTGAAACCCCAGGTTCCCGCCTGTCCCCATCCTGCATTTCAATTCAGCCCATCTACCCAGCCCCAGGAAGAGTTACCTAGAGATCAGAGACGGGCGCCGGGAGGGGCCTGAAGAGAAAAAAACCATGCTGCTGATTCTCAGCGTGCCCAGCCATGCTGGGCTCTGCCCCACTGCCCTCTCGGACACAGGAGCCTTAGGCAAGCGGTCTCTCAAATGCCAGCCTTGGTTACTAGGGCCTGACCCCACTACCCAGGATGCAGGATGCATGCTGTCCTAGCCTGGAAGTACACAGCCACTTGTCAGAGACAACCTGTTTTGCCCAGCTCTACTTGCCATCTTTGTTTCTCACCCTGACCTCACTGCCACCCCCAGCCACCCTCTGCCCCCAACACCCCTGGCCCTACCTTTGGTCTTCTTCTTCTCTTTCCTGCAAACCAGGCAGGCCACCAAGGTGCTGAACCCCACGAGGGTGCCCAGGGCCAGCCCTCCAGCTACAACAATCCCCAGCAGTGGCACTTCTACCCTGGTGGCCAGGAGCCCTGCAAGTTGTCCTCTGGTTAGGTTCCAAGTGGGCAGTGCCCCAGGCCTGAAATGCTGTAGTAATTACTGTCTTCCTTGTTTGAGGTGGAACTCATCCACAAGACCCACCCAAAGGGCAACAAGTCCTCCCAGCAAGTCCTCTACACTATGACTCCTGTGCCCACTTGAGCCTTTGCTGGGCCAGTTGCTGGTGATTCTCACCTGGGGCTGGAAGCGAGGCACTGGTGACACCCACGTCATTGGTGGCCACCACTGAGATATTGTGTGGCAGGCTGTGGAGCTGCAGCTGCACAGTATGGTTGGTGAGCCAGGGGTAGTTCTGGGCATCCAGCACCAGGAAGTCAGAGGTGTTGACGGTCACTGGCCCATCCTGGTCGATCCAAGTGACGTTGGCAGGTGGGTTGGCACGCACCAGGGCAAACAGGACAACAAGGAGGCCTGGGCCGTGAACTTCCTGGTACTTGGCCCCAACCTGAGCAATCTCCGGCTTAACTGGTACAAAGCAGAGGTCAATATGCTCTCACCACAGGGCCTCCTGCTTTTGGCCCTCTCTTCCCAAACCCAGATGGGAGCCAGGAGCCTGGACCTCTCCTCAGAGCAAGCACTGAGAACTGGGATGTCTGGGTCTACCAGAGAGGCAGAATTTCAGTTATTCAGAGTATGTGTGTAAATACAAGAGCCCAAATGTCTGGATTTGAATCCTGGCTCTGTTTCTTACCAGGTCTATGACCTTGGGCAGATTGCTTAACTTCTTTGTGCCTTAGTTTTTTAACTTGTAAAATGAGATAACAATAGTAATCACCTTATAGGATTATAGTGAGAATAAGGCGATTTTATATCTGCCAAGTGCTTAAGTGTTTATTAAATGTCCTGTCAACCATCTGCCTGATGGCTTCTGGGGGTCCCTGGGCAGAGAACCTCCCTGCCCACCTCAGGGGCACTCACATTGCACATTGAGGATGACAGAGGCATTGGCTGATTGGCCACTGCCTGGGTCCTGCAGGGAGCAGTTGAGCTCATGCTGGGCCCGCTGGGCAGTGATAGTAAAAGTGCTGGTGCCTCCAGAGAAGGCCTCTCCGCCCACGTTCAGCAGTCTTGAGGTGCTGGCCTCCTGCAGCTGTCCATCTAGGTACCAGGCCAGTTGGGGGGTTCCAGGGCCCCCTGAGACCCGGCAGGTGAAGGCGTGACGCTCATTCTCCTTAAGTGCCAGCTCAGCCCAGGTCTGACCATCTATTTGTGGAGCCAACTCCCCCCAACCTGGAAAACAGCAGGAGGCCTCTGGAAATTGCTGGAGGAGGGCTGTTCCTGTTCTGTGACCAGGATGAGGTCATTAGTGAGGGGCAGCAGGCCCAGAGACAGGGCACCTGGGTTCTCTCAACAGGGAACGGCTGGACCTAGGGTAGGTGGGTGAAGGGAACCTGGAGTGGGTGCCCCAACAGAATGTGTAGCAAGGAGAGGAGAGAAGAGCGTTTGATGGAGGAATGAACAGGGGTGTACCTGAGCTCAGAAGGGCTGGCAGGAGCAGCAGTGTGTGCGAGAGGGTAGCTGGGCCTAGAGGCAGCGCCATGGTGGCCCCGGCCTGGGCCCTAGGCTGCCGAGAGAAGGGGGCGGGCCTCGGTGTCAGCCAGGTGTGAGCAGGGAGGCCGAGCAATTTGTCCAGGAACGTGCTTTCCAGAAACAAAAAGAACCGTGCACGAGAACACAGATGTAGGCCGGCCCACAGTGGCGAAGACACCGACACGACCAGCAAAGCCCAAAGGCACAGACCCACCCAGCGCGTACCTGGCCACCCTGCAGGCGCAAAACCAAGCACTGACTCCCAGGGACAAAAAGGTACACACTCCCAGGTACAGAAGAAACGAGCGACCGCGCAACCACACCGTGCCCGGATACTCACGCACACGCGCGCTCCAGCTACCTGTGCCCCTCCCCCAAAGGTAGATCCTTTTTCTCGACCCCTCCTCCTCCGACCAGGTTCCCCCTCCCATCTCTCTCCTATGCCCTAGCCCAATCGCGGTTTCTCAGGAGGATTTGGGCGGGAGAGAAGGGGCTCGGGGAGGTGAGGTCGCAGAAGCATCCCGCCCCCGCCCCCTTCCCCGGGGCGGCTCACCTGGCTCCCTTCCGAAGCACAGCCAGAGCAACTGCTCAGGTCTGCCCAGCACCGCAGTCCGCTGCAAGGGCGGGGGCTGCGCCAGGCAGGGCCAATCAATGCCCGACAACGGGCCCATTGCGCCCTCCCCCAGGCCCTCCACGCCGGGGACACCTGAGTGCGCTTCTCCGGGTGCGTGGGTGCGTGAGTAGGACGCAGAAGCAGGCAGAGTCGGTGAGGCCGGGTAGCTTTATTGGTTCCAGGCCCCTCCTGTCCCCCCGGCCGCGCTCAGTGCCCGTTGCGCGGCCCGCGCAGCTGCCCCATCATGTCAGCCAGCATGCGGTTGCACAGCGCGGCGTAGGGGTTGAGCAGTACCAGCTGGCGCCGCGCGAAGGTGCTTCCCAGCCGCGCCGCTCGCTCGAAGTCCCTGCGGGCATCGTCGTCCCGGCCCTGCAGCCTCGCCAGGAGCCCGCGCTGCACGAAGCTCTGGCGGGCGGCGCGGCCCCGGCCTCGGCTTAACTCCACGGCGCGCTCCAGGTCCTCCAGGGCGCCTGCGGGACGGGACTGGGGTCAGCGGCACGCTCTGGGCGGTAGGTGCCGGAGTACCCCGCAATCTGTGGTGGTCCCTGAGGTTCTGGGCATGGCCGTTTACCACCCACCTGCTACACATGCAGACATTGATGCTGGAGGTAGGGACTGTTATTCCCATTGCACAGATGAAGGCTGGAAGAACTGGGAAGACTTGCCCTGGGCTGCACAGTCCCCTAGGAACCGCTGGTTCCTATTATTTTCTACCCCTAATATACCAGAACATGAACGTTGTGGAGGGATTTTGAATCAGGTCACTGTTTATGATTCTGACCCATTGTTGGGCAAGTAGCAGGCAATTCATTCCGTGGGTGTGTGTTTTTAGCGTTTTAGGCAGCTAATCCACACATAAAAAATCATCTACCGTGTGCCAGGTGACCGACTCAATCCCAGGATTCAAAAAAATTATAAATCTCAGCGCAGTGGCTGGGTCCTGTAATCCCAACTACTGGGGAGGTTAAAGCTAGTTCAAGACCAGTTTGGGCAACATAGAAGACCCTGTTGCCGCTACAAAAAATAGAAATAAGCCAGGTGGTGGGGAATCCCTTGAGCTCTGGAGTTTGAATCCAGCCTGGATAACAAAGCAAGACCCCCACCCCCATCCCGATCTCTTAAAAACTTTTTAAAACGTTAAACAAGATTGTAATTAACTGCACAACCATTTCTTCCAAAGACAATAAAGTCAGCTTCTCATTCTTTTCCTTTTGAGGGCTTTTTGCTTTGTTTGTTAAAATTTAGGTCAGCTCTCTTCTCCCCAGCTTCCTGGACTGATGGCCTTTCCTTATTCTCTCATTATCTCCTAATTTCCTTGGAAGACGGTCCTGGAGCCACAGCTGGCCTGCACCATTTTAATTTTTGTTATTCTCATAAAATACTTGGGTTATGCTCGGCGCTTGTGGCTCAAGCGGCTAAGGCGCCAGCCACATACACTTGAGCTGGTAGGTTCAAATCCAGCCTGGCCCATCAAACAACAATGACAGCCGCAACCAAAAAGTAGCCAGGTATTGTGGCTGGCACCGATAGTCCAGGGAGGCGCAAGCAGGAGAATTGCTTGAGCCCAGGAGTTGGAAGTTGCTGTGAGCTGTGATGCCACAGCACTCTACCCAGGGCAACAGCTTGAGACTCTGTCTCCATAAAAACCCCCCAAAACAAAAAACTTGGCTTAGGCCTCTGAACTCAGATCCTCAGACAGCCAGCTGGTGTCTTCTGTAAGGTCCGCCAGGATGCTTTTATCCAGGCTCTGCTTCTATTCACTCAGGTTCTCCAGTCTCCTAAAGAGCCTGACAAGGCACTTGGGGAGCTCCAGAACCATCCTGGAGCAAGGCTGATCTTTCCTCTTTTGGGTAGAACCCAGCAGGAGTTAATACTCCCCACTCCACCCAGACTGCTAAGAAACTCTCAGATTGTAGTGCTCTTTTTTTTTTTTTTTTTTGAGACAGAGCCTCAAGCTGTCCCCCTGGGTAGAGTGCCATAGCATTACAGCTCACAGCAACCTCTAACTCCTGGGCTCAAGCGAGTCTCCTGCCTCCGCCTCCCAAGTAGCTGGGACCACAGGCACCCGCCACAACGCCCGGCTATTTTTTTTTTTTTTTGGTTGCAGCCATTATTGTTGTTTGGCGGGCCGGGCTGGGGATTCGAACCCGCCACCTTAGGTGTACGTGGCTGGCGCCTTAGCCAGTTGAGCTATAGGCGCCGAGCCGATTGTAATGTTCTTTGGTTTCCCTCAGAGAGGCTGGTCTGGAGGAATCACCTCTTCACCTCTCTGGAGTTTCAGCCACAGGTTATTTCCAGGCGCCTGAGGCACACAAGCCTGGAAAGGGGCTGTTACTAGAATGGAGTCTAAACTACTCTGCCTGGCATGCCTGGTCCTGGGAGCCCCTGCACCAGCACTGGTCCTAACAAGTAGATTCCTACTAGATTTCTGTAGTTTACACCTTTCCGGTCAGCCTGGCCCCTTCCATCCCATTGTTCTCAAGCTAGCCATAGTAACCTGAATACAGCAGGTTTGATCCAATCACTCCCCTGTTAAAACCCTTGAGTGGACCATTTGTGGGCACTCCCATCTGTAACCCCAACACTCTGGGAGGCTGAGGAAGGAGGATCCCTTGAGCCCAGGAGTTGGAGGTTGTAGTGAGCTATGATGACACCATTGCTCTCTAGGGCAGCGGTTCTCAACTGTCCTAATGCCGCGGCCCTTTAATATAGTTCTTGTGGGTCACAACCCACAGGTTGAGAACTGCTGCTGTAGGGCAACAGAGCGAGACACTGTCTCAGGAAAAAAAAAGGCAATTCTTGGCTCGGCACCTGTGGCTCAAGTGGCTAAGGCACCAGCCAGGTACACCCAAGGTGGCGGGTTCGAATCCAGCCCGAGCCTGCCAAACAATAATGACGGCTGCAACCAAAAAATGGCCGGGCGTTGTGGTGGGCACCTGTAGTCCCAGCTACTTGGGAGACGGAGACAGGAGACTCGCTTGAGCCCAGGAGTTGGAGGTTGCTGTGAGCTGTGATGCCATGGCACTCTACCCAGGGCCACAGCTTGAGGCTGTCTCAATTAAAAAAAAAAAAAAAAGCAACTCTTGAAAGATCACTCAGTGTTTTCAGGACACAATCCAGTCTTAGCCTAATGCTCCCAGTGTCTTAACCATCTGGCTCCCACCTGCCTGTCCCAGCTCAGCTCTTCATCTTTCCTCCACTGCCTGCTCCAGCCCGCCTGGAAATCTGAAGTTCCCTGTACCTATGTATACCTTCTGGATCTCTACAGACTCTGCCTTCTCCCACTCCCTTCTACACACCCAGCTACCGTGTTTCCCTGAAAATAAGAGACTGTCTTATATTTATTTTTTCTCAAGAAGACACACTAGGGCTTATTTTCAGGGGACGTCTTACTTTATTAAGTATAATACAATAATCTACATTTATTCAAATACAGTTAAGTCATTTTCTTCTGAAACCTAACAGGGGGAGCCGACCTTGTTGGTGGGGCTGGCGCTAGTGATGCGTGAACTCCTTTCCCCTACCTGTTCGCATGTGCACAATAGGATGCCTGCGTCCTGGTTACCACATGCGAACCCAACCCGGACAAGTGCGAATGGCTCAGAGAAAGGAGCTGTGGCCAGTCTTCCTTACCGCTCCACACAGAAATGCAGGGTGTGGCTATGCAGATATGCTGCATAGCCACGCCCATCACTAGGTCTTATTATGGGGGTAGGGTTTATATTTAACAAATGCATAGAAATCCTGCTAGGGCTTATTTTTGGAGTAGGTCTTATTTTTTGGAAAACACGGTAACTCCTACTCATCCTTCAAAACTTGTCTTTCAGGGAGAGGTTCCATGCTGACTTCACTTAAACTTGTCTTGCTAGTATCATCACACCATGTGTCTGTCCTACCCCCATATGCCGGGAACTTCTTGAGGAGCAGTATCACATGGCCATTGAAAGCACATACTCTGCATCCCTGCTGCCTGGTTCAAATCCCAGCTCTGCCACTTCCTAGCTGGGTGGTAGTGGACAAGGTACTTAACATCTCCATGCTTCAGTTTCTTCATCGATCAAAGAGAACACTAGTGACATGCCTGCAGGGTTGTTGTGAGGATTAGGTGCATTGCTACAGCTCATATGTAAAGTGCTGAATGCCTGGCATACAGTAACTGCTATGTAAATGTTAGCTGTCAGTAGTATACCTTTTACCACTACATCCTCAGTACCTCGCCTGCCACATAGTAGGTTCTCGTTAAATGTTCTTTAAGTGACTAAATGAGATGTAACCTCTTTTGACTTTCAAACAGTCCCATGAGATTAGCAGGGCCCGTGATAACATCTTACATGTAAGAAATGGAGCTTAGTGATTCCTCACCCCTCATAGCCCAGCTCCACAGCCATTTTGTCTCTGGTCTGGGCCCTTTGGAGTCCCTTTCTGCAGTGGCTCCAGAGGCTCCATGGCATTGTCCCTTACCTGCCACATCTCCCTGAAGTCGCCGGGCCTGGGCTCGGTTGTTGTAGGCTGATGCCCTCTCAGGCAGCAGGCAGATGGCTTGGCCAAACCTCTCCAGGGCTGTGCTGAGGTCCCCAACTTCTGCTGCCATCACCCCCTGCAGCTCCAGGGCCTTGTACTCCTCCAGCTGTGCTTGAGGGAAAACTCCATCTGTGCTCGGGAAGGAGCCAGGAGGAGGGGACAGGGAGCAAGAAGAAAAAGCCACCAAACCAGAGCTGACTGTGGGTCACAGTCAGTTGCAGTGTTTGGGGTAGTGGGCACAGAGGTCCCCAAGGCTGGACTAGCACTGCCTAAGTTCCAAATGGCTCTGGGAAAGGGATCTTGGTTGGCCTTCCAATGCCAAGAGAATGAAGCCCAGACTCCTTAATTGGTAGCTAAAGAACTTGCTCAAGGTCACACAACCCATAAATAACACAGCTTAGATTGGAACCCAGGACTTTCGGCTCCAAAGCCTGTCCTTATTTTGCTCCAACTACACTGCCTCCTACACAAAGGCCACCCTGACATTTGTAAGTTCTGAAAATCACTTCATATGTATCCCTAGGTTTTCCACCTGAAGCTTCATCGGTTAGGTCTCCATTCCTCCAGAAACAAAGGTCATTAACTCTTTCATTAGGGAACACTGGAAAAGCCAGTTAGCTCAGCGCTGGGCTTGTAATAGTGTCTAACAGACGCAGGCTGAGTGGCGCCTTAGCAGTTTGGGAGGCCAAGCCCTTGAGGTCAGTTCAACTGTTGCTACAAAACCTAGAAAAATTAGTCGGGCAATGCGCCTGTTGTCCAGCTGTTTGGGAGGCTGAGAGAAGGATCATTTGAGCCCAGGAGTTTGAGGTTGCAGTGAGCTATGACCAGGCCACAGCGCTCATGTCCAGGCAACAAAGCAAGGCTCCATCTCCAGAAAAAGACAAAAAAGCTAGTTTTGCTTGCTATATTGGACCTACTCAAGTGAGCCACCACCCCCTGCCCTGCCCTGTTGGTGGTAGGGGTGGAGGGTGATATTCTCTATTCTGACAAAGATATGAGTTTATCACCCAACACAATTGGGCTTGGGCCATGGAATTAATGAAGTGGTGAGTTCAGAGATAGAAGAGCTTTGCCAAGAGGATGGCTTTCTTCTCTTGGCAGAATGTCTAAGTCCCTATCAGTGTACTAAGATCAGCCAACCTGATTCTAATCTCAGTCATAACCCAAGGGTTATGGAGCAGGGCCCTGTAAGATCACCTGCCTCTGCCACTCTTGGGAGACCAGCAGGGAGCCTATGTGGAGGGCCACACTCCAGGTCAAGTGCTCACCTTCATCTAGTTCTTCCTTTTCTGTTTCTTCTAGGTCCAACCCAACAACATCTCCAAATGGGGTATCAGGGTTGAAGATGGCCTGCAACACTGCCTGATCATTTGGAGTCCCCATGGTATTCAACTCCAAAATCCCAAAAGGTGACTCAGATTGAGAGAAGAGGGAGGTGCTGAGCCTTCAACAGGCAGGTGATCTAAAGGTAGAGGTTCTCTTTGAGGACCATCCCCTCAGGAGGAGTGTCTCCCATTCCTTGGCTTTAGTGTAAACTCAACCCCCTAGGCCTGGGGTTAGTGACACCAGCTGGTAGAATATTTACAGTTATTTCTCAGCTGGCCCCCTCACCTCCAGAATAAACAAATCCAGTTTTATCCTTAAGGTGGAGGTGAGGAAAAGGGGGCTCTCCAGCTTTTCCCTGAAATGCTTTCATTTTAGTCACAAGAAAACTGTTAGAAACCACCACTTGACCTTCCTTGGATAAAAGGGGGGATACGTAGAAGGTAAAGTAACTATTCCTTTGTCCTCTTGACCCCTTCCTGAACATTGATCATTGATGAGCAAAGAAAGAAAATACAGCTTGAGCTGGACCAGTTGTGTGCGTCTATAGTCCCAGCTACTTGGAGGCTGAGAATCCCTTGAGCCCAGGTCAAGGCTGCACTGTGCTGTGATATTGTTCTTGCGCTCCAGCCTGAGTGATGAGGAGACCCTATCTCTAAAAGAAAGTTAGAGTCAGTGTGGAGTGGGACCTGAAGGTAGGCTATGGATGGGCGATGATTTCGTGATTCCACCTTAAAAGGACAGACAGTGGAAGGTACTTTGTACCAGGTCACAGGCCACGCCCCCCTGCCACCCCCACCAAGGCCAGAAGGAAGCTCAACCCTGTGTTGCAATAAACTTGACATGTTTATTAATTAAACTATCACTTAAATAAAAAAAAGTGCATAGAAAATAAACATGTTTAAAAACTCCTTTTTTTTTTTTTTACAACTATGTACACTTTTTACTTTTACATTCAGTCTTTCGTAGAGAGCTTTCAGCATTATTATTTTTTGAACTATTAAAGTATTTTCCTTCATCCCTGTCACAGGGAGTTAACACTGATGGACTTTAGACACATTTTCCTTTTATTTTTTTCTCTTTTTCTCTAACCAGAAGCTTGGAAGAACACAAGGAAAAAAAAAAAAGATCTGTTATACATGATAAAGTTGTCAAGAAATGTCTTATTTCTAGAAAAGAAGCTTGTCATCTGTTGAGCTCTTGAAACAATTATTCAACTACCTGTATTTACTAAAGAGACTGTTAAAAGTTCAATAAAAGAAACACCACAATTCTATTTTCTTGGTTGAAAGACAGAACTAGAGTACCTCAGAACAAGATACCAGGAAAGCACAGAACACAATTTTCCCCTAAATGCAGGTGGTAACCCCAACATTCATAACCAAAAATAGAGAAACAAGGAGTACAGGTACTGACTGGCAACATTCATGGGCAGAAAAAATCCAAGTGACACCATTTCTGCATTTCTCTCTGATCCCAGGAATAGAGTGTTTTACCATCCCTTTATTTGGGTTTTCCCCCATTTTGGGACTCAGAGGAATGCTAGCCTGACATTTTCCTGCCACTACTAGCAACTGTAACACAATCCTTATCTATAGTGTTAAGAGAATTAAAAGCCATGGACTGAACTAGGCTTTGTTACATGGTGCATTACTATATTAGTTCCTATATATATCATATTTATATTTATTTGAAAACCAAAACAAACAAAAAGTTGCAAGTTTTCAGAGTGTGAGACTTGACTGGTGTTCATGATTCAGCACAAAACCATCTGCTCAATAACCTTGTATTGCTTAAAAATGAAGGAAATGAAACAAAATTACACCCAGCCCTTTGCAATGACCCGCTTTTCCTTAAAAACAAAAACAACTTGATTTCTAGTTAAAAAAAAAAATCCCAAATCAAACTTAAAGGTTAACATCTGACAAGGTTTTGACCTCTAGTATTTTCAGATATTGATTGAACGTCAGTCCTTTAGAAAGATACATTCATTAAAAGAATTTTTTTGTTTTTTCGTATGTTGTTGTATTTTTTTTTCTTTTTTTTTTTTTTTAAATCAAGGGAGCTGCATGGTGCTCACTGCATTGGCCGGGGGGGTTGACAGAGGCGAGCAGGGTGGTAGGCTAGGTCCCGGTCTGGTAGAAAACGTATAGCTGCCAGGGCTTCCCCCTTAATTCTTTTTATTGGCCTAAAAACAGAAGGGGCTGTGCTGAAGTTGGTGGGCGGCCAAGGAGGGAGCCAGGGGACCAAGTTCCGGCCAAAAGGTCAACGCCATGCAGCTGTTCTGGTTACACAGTTGTCACTGGCCACCAGGAAATGCAGCCACAACAGGTTCTAGCAGCAAAGCTATAAGTGAGCTGGCTCTCACTGAGAACTGACCAGGTTTGCAGCTATTACTCCTTAGGGATTTGGGATGCCCCTTGGGGGATTCTTGCCAATGACCCACCACAGTTCCTCCGTCTGCATTTTTGTGCGGATATTCCCTCGGTCACTTTCAAAACAAACTCAGACGTGTTTGTGAGATAGCGATGCCATTTTTGCCTTCTTTCCCTCCCATAGGGAAACTTTAGCTTATCCCCCAAGTTGCTGGCAGGTATGCTGAGATTTTGGCAATGGACTCAAGGCTGACTAGAAGAGGAATTTCTCATTTCTGTGGCTGACAATTAGGATGTGGAAAGGCAAGGCAAACCATCTGCAGCTGGCAGAAGAAGGAAAGATGTGGGTCCCTCCCCTGTCCTCAGGGTTTGGGGGTGGCAGAAAGAATGAGGAGGGGGCTCACAGTACAGCATGGCCTAGCAGGGCAGTAACTAGGTCTATTTAGCTGAATTTCCCCCACCCCCTGACTGGCCTTTGGGTCTTTCTCAAGGTGAATTCATGACCCATCAGTGCATTAATCATTTCAGTAACAAATGCAGCTTAAGTTTTTCTTTAAAAAAAATAGGAATACAAGGATTTACAAAAAAACCTCACACAGTGCAATAATAAAGGAAACCAGACACTAGTGGAACCCCTAGGGCCACTGTATCTTTTTCATGGGCAAAAGGAGGAAGGGAGGTGAGGTCTGGGTAGAGTGCTTTTCCCCAGTCCCCTGCTGGCACTTCTCCACGATGACAAAGTATCTGCCATCCTGGCCACAGTGCTGGGCTCCCTGCATGACAGTGAATACAGTGACAATGTTCCAGCAAAGCCACCAGACAAAGTTCTTAAGGTCACAGAAAAAAAGGGAGCCCAGGATGGAAGGCACAGCAGAGCCATGAGTCCTGGGGCAGAGAGTGCTGGGCTGAGTCGTATTGCTTTGCTAGACTTCCATAAGAATGGGCTTCTTGCAGCGAGGAAAGGGTGCCCCACCCTCTACTTGGACTGCACTACTCTGAAACCTTGTGGCAGAGGCAGAGAAAAATCTGCTTTATCGTGAGTGGTCAAACTGTGCTTCAGTTTCAACGGGCTGCCCCCAGAGGGGGCACAAGGTGATCAATGGTTTCTTTGCAGGTATGAGGACTTGGTGGGCAGAGGGAAAGGAAAAGAAGTGACCTATGAGGCAGATGGTGATGGAAAATGTCAAGTTGCCATTCAACTTGTTGGTTGCTAACTCTGAAGTAGGAAAGATGAGGGAAATGTAAAAGATTACTGTCTTTCACCACTCTGGAGGTAGTGGCAGAACGGAGAGAGACAGTATGGGAAAGAGAAGAAACTGTTCTATCAAGATACTACCATAGCCTTTTGAGGAGCTTCAATAGGGGAAGGAGGGGAGTGTCCCAGTGGAATTGGGTGACCTTCCTTCTCCATTTATTGTCAAAGAGCAAACCCAGGAAACATTTATGTCAACAGGGCACAAACAAGCTATACATTAAACAACAAAAAGTACACCTTCTAGGGGAAGTTGGGCAGGAAAAACCAGACTTTGTGTGTACAGCTGAATATTTTCTCTAACTTCATCCTATGAAAATAAAAAATTATTAAAAACCGATCTTCTTTTAAATTAGGATAATACCGCGGTTTAAAAAATAGCCTTGTCATAAGTGCTTCTCCCTATGAAGTGCTTCTCATAGAAAAATATACAAAATATATTTACATTTATAAAACCTTAAATAGTAAACTGTAAACAGAACAGAGTAAAATCCAATGACTTAATTTAACACGATCAGGACACTGTCTTGGGGGAAGGAAGAGAAGAAACATTTGATGCTGTTTTGACCACATCCTAAGGAGTAATCAGGGCAGTAGTGTCATTTAATTTACTTTATCCATGGATTGTGCACAGGTGGCAGAGTTCTCTCAACACAAGGTGGTCTAGTCCCCAAGTTTTGGGCCTTGAAATCTGATTAGTGTTCTGCCGTCAACTGGACATTGACCATTTAAAAACTAAGTCTTCCTATGTCTTCACACGGGGAAAATAAAGTAATCATGTCCTAGGAGTGGGGCCCAACGGTCATCCTGGTTGTGATACTCCGGTTGTTGCATGATTCAAATCCTATTTAAATAATCTTTTTCCTCTTCTAAAAAATCATGCTACTTATCTTTCTTTAAAACTCCCAAGGGAGTTTTATGAAAATTTCTCCAAATTCTGTCTGGTTATGACCAATGGCTCCTGTCCACTTCCCCTGGAGTGCTTATAGGCTCAGGGAACTTTTTGCAGGCATCTCCATGCCCAATAGGGAGTGTCCTCGAGCAGGGAGTCTATCTCCCCTACCACCCAAAAAGAATGGGAAAGCGGTGGGATGAAGGACAGTGGGAAGGAAGGACAGGGAGGGAGGAGTACGAATGGGAGAGGGAAGCTGCTCCTACTGCCAAGAAAGGTGACTGGCTGAGCTAAGGCTCATGGGAACAACACCCCCACTTAAAGCCCACAGGCTCAATGTTTGGTAATTAATTGGCACAACCCCAAGACAGCCTTTTGACACCAGAGGTGCTAGGAATCCTGTCTCCCAGCCAGAAGTGAACTCTTAAGTAGGAGGATAGGGAAAACCACCAGACCTCTGTTTGTTCAACAGATGGCCGGCCATAGGTGGGACCTGGCTGGCAAACTGTCAGGTATCTAACCAACCTATCTGGGGCTTTGCCTGACCCTTCACTTACAGTGCTTGGGAAAGGGCCAAGGCGAGGATGGCAACTTATCTTTGAGGAGATGTTCAGGCCCAATCTCCCAACATAACTAACCCTCCACAGGCTCCTTGTAGGCAAGTCTGCCAGGGAC